ATCTCTCTATCTCTACCAATCAATCAATCAATCAATTGTCGAGTGTGTGTATGTATCAATTTTTTATCATCTTCGCTATGCACCTTAAAAAAGATGAGTATGCGTGTGTGCGTGTGTTGTCATATGCGCTATGCACCTTAAAAATGATGAGTATGGGTGTGTGCGTGATTTTTTCTCTCTCTCCCTATCTCTCTCTCTCTCTCTCTATCTATCTATCTATCTATCTATCTATCTATCTATCTATCTGTCTATCTATCTATCTATCTATCTATCTATCTATCTATCTATCTATCTATCTATCCGCATAACCAATCCATCGATTGATCGATTGATCAATTGATCTATTTATCTACATAACCAATCCCTCGATTGATCGATTGGATCGATCGATTGATCGATTGGACCGATTGGATCGATTGGATTCGATCGATCGATGGATCAATTGGATTCGATCAATGGATCGATTGGATCGATTGGATTCAATCGATCGATGGATCGATTGGATTCGATCGATGGATCGATTGGATTCGATCGATGAATCGATTGGATCGATTCGATGGATCGATTGGATTGGATCGAATCGATTGGATCGATTGGATTGGAGTGGATTGGATGGATTGGATCGATTGGATTGATGGGATCGATCGATAGATCGATTCGATCGATTCGATCGATCGATGGATCGATTGGATTCGATCGATGGATCGATCGGATTGATCGATTGATCGATTGGATCGATCGATCGATAGATCTATCTATATACATAACCAATCCATCGATTGATCGATTGATCTATCTATCTCTCTATATATCTCTCTATATATCTATCTATCTATCTATCTATCTATCTATCTATCTATCTATCTATCTATCTATTTATCTATCTATCTATCTATCTATCTATCTATGTATCTATCTATCTATCTATCTATCTATCTCTCTATCTATCTACATAACCCCTCTCTCTATCTATCTGTCTATCTACATAACCAATCCATATTCGATCAATCGATTGATCGATTGAGAAGGGATCCGGTCCGAGATAGGGCTTCGGAGAGGGGGGATCGGGCTCGGGATAGCGCTCCCGAGAGAGGGCATCGGGGTCGGGAATCGGGGTTGGATCCCACCATCTCCAATCCATCAATCAATCAGTCAATTGATAAATCAATCAATCAATCAATTAGTACGAATGTCTATCGCGGTCGGGATCGGAGTCGGGATCCGGGGATCACGGTCCGGGTCGGTGTCAGAATTGGCGTCGGGATCGGGGTCAACTCGGAGTTTAATTCACGATTAATCAATCGATCAATCAATCAACCAATCAATCGAAATTGATTGATTGATTGATTGATTGAAACCGGAGAAGGCGGACGTGCGAAGTTGGGCGGAGATGCAGGGGATGGCGGAAGTGCGGGGTAAGGCATAGCAGTGGGGGAAGCAGTGGAGGGGCCGAAGCGAGGAGTAACGGGGAAGGCCGGGAAAGAGACCTGAGCGGCGGTACGAGAAGGCCGGCGGAGATGTGTGGAGGTGAGCGGAGGTGGGCGAAGTCGAGCGGAGGTGGGCGGAGCTCAACGGAGCGGACGTAGGGGGACGGGTGAGCGCTGGAGGTGGGGGGAAGACTTATTTTCTTTTTGTTTTTTTCTTTTAATAAGTTTTTATTTTTGTTCAATTAATCAATCAATCAATCCATCAATCAATCAATCGAAATTGATTGATTGATTGATTCATTGAAAGTGGGGAAGGCGTAGGTCATGGTAGATGCGAAGTTGGGCGGAGGTGCGGGGGATGGCAGAAGTGCGGGCTAAGCCGTAGGAGCGGGAGAAGCAACAGAGGAGCTGGAGGCAGGAGCAACGGGAAAGGCTGGGAAAGAGACCCGAGCGGCGGTGCACGGAGGCCTGCCGACATGTGTGTAGGTGAGCGGAGGTGGGCGCAGTCGAGTAGCTGTGGGTGAAACCGCGGAGGTGGCTGGAGGTCAGCGGAGCGCACACAGTGGGAGGGGTGAGCGTTGAAACCCCGTCCTTTTTCTTTTTTTCTTTTAATGTTTTTATTTTTTTCAATCAATCAATCAATCAATCAATCAATCAATCAATCAATCAATCAATCAATCAATCAATCAATCAATCAATCAATCAAACGATCAATCAATCGATCAATCAGTCGAAATTGATTGATTGATTGATTGAAAGCAGGGAAGGCGGAGGTGCGAAGGTGGGCAGAGGTGCGGGGGATGGCGGAAGTGCGGGCTAAGCCGTAAGAGCGGGGGAAGCACCGGAGGGGCCGTAGGTTGGAGCAACCAATCAATCAGTCAATCAATCAATCAGTCAATCAATCAATCAATCAATCAATCAATCAATCAATCAATCAATCAATCAATAAATCAACCAACCAATCAATCAATCAATCAATCAATCAAWCAACCAATCAATCAATCAATCAATCAATCAATCAATCAATCAATCAAGCAATCAATTGATTTATTGCTTGATTGATTCGTTGGTTCATTGATTGATTGATTGTTGATGCGATGGCGGTTGCTCGAGATAGAGGTCCGTTTGAGATCGCACCAATCTATCACCTCTCTCTCTCTCTCTCTCTCTCTCTCTCTCTCTCTCTCTCTCTCTCTCTCTCTCTCTCTCTCTCTCTCTC